CATGTGCTGAAGGTGTGTAGCATGTGCTGAAGCTGTGTAGCATGTGCTGAAGCTGTGTAGCATGTGCTGAAGGTGTGCGTGTTGCCATAGCACAGAATCTCAGTTCCAGCTTATGTTCAGTGCATCACATCTGATATAAACCTACCCATCAGCCTCTATTTCACCTTGCTGGTGTCGAGTCAATGCGTAGAGGATCGACATGGAGACAACACTGTGGAGAGACAAAAAGGAGGAAGGTATAGTACTACAATAATTCCATTTTCATGGCGGTCCTCAGTCCGTTCTTAGGAAAACCCAAAGACTCAGCCCTGTCTATCTCTCATTCCTACAGCAGGCACCTATTGGTTGTACCTGAATGCCATTATAATGACCAGGGCCAGGATGGCGCCATGCAAGAACTTTTGGCTGATGCAGCCATTTTCTGGAGCAGGACTCTGAAACCACAGAAGCACAAGGACAATATCAGTGTTATTACATGTACATTGACATCTGCAGCAATGATACATTCATAAAGATCCAAACATTTAGGGTCACAGCCTGGGGCAAAAACTGAATGGGATACCAGTCCATCACAGGGCATATACCAATAATCATACCCTATGGGCAATTTAATGCCACCAAATAATCTAACTGCATGTTTTTGGCCTACAAGAGGAAACCTGTTCTGCACAGCATTTGAATCCCCAACCATGGGGTTAGGAATTATAGCACTGAGTTTAAAGTTTCTGTCGCTGAAGATGAAAAACAGAGTGACATATATTTATTAGTTGAAATGAAAACATCAATACTGACCTTGCTCCCAGATCTGCCTGATCTTTTCTTGATAGGAACACTTCCTGCTCGACTGAACTGACTTCCTGATTGACTGAAATTACAGCAAAATGCAGACTATGACATAACAATGCATTACTGATAACCTTTGAATTACCTATTTAAAATATTTGATGTATATCAAAATATATAGTAAGTAGTAAGTGTATATATCGTATATTGCAATCATATCCCCCATCTTCAATTCCTTCCCCGAGGCTAGCCCATGATCTCCATGGCCTTCTGTACCCAGCACAGCACACAGGTTCTCGGTGCGCCGGTTCCCCCCAGGCCTCACCTAGCCGTTCCCCCGCTCACAGTGCTCTTCATGCTGTCCAGCCGCCGCAGCTTAGCCAGCTTGCGGCTCCAGCGCTCCAGCTCGTCAATGCGCGTCTCCAGGTTGTCCGTCAGCTTGCACAGCTCCTTCACCGCCCCAACGTTCTCCATGAAGATGCGGTCCTGAGTAGGAGGAGGAACCAGGAGCGCCTCCGGTCAGATCAGAGCTTAACACGCCGCTTATGATACACATTAGAGCTGGTTTCAATGACCTCCCCTGACCTTGTTGACCACCAGCAGGTTAGGGATGGTCTCCCCGTTGGCATACACAACATCTCCACCCTCCTTAACTGCCTCTGGCAGGATCTGTTGCACCTCCTGGGCAATCACTCCTGCACAGAGACAACACAGGCAGGCTTGGAAGTGAGCCTGTGATTCAGAATGCCAGCAATCTGGAGAACTAAGCTGTTCGCGATATTGCGCTGAGTCTGAAAAAGCAACAAGTGTGCTACTGGCTCTGAGCAATGGAGGCTGATTCTCTGGAGATAGTTCACCTGTTTCTGCGGTGTTCTCAATCCCCACGGTGGCTGCAAACTCAGGCTTGTAGTGATAGTGCACCAGCCGCATCTGAGAGATCCTCTTCAGATTGTCCGTGGTGTTTACCTGGGGTATCGGACAACATGGACAGGCCCATATAGAGTCACATGTAGAGCAAGGCCACAGACGTATTGCGAGAAACACAGAAGAACCAGGTCAGCAACTAGGACTCCAATGACAGGTCTCCTTAACTGAAAAGCTTCAGGCAGATAGCGTCCTCTTTCATGGGGACCTCAAAATGGTTAGACCCTTTAGCAAAAGAAGACCTCAAGTCAGGTCTATCCATCACTGAAGACCTGCAAGCACTCCAAACTCTCACCTCCTGGATGTTCTCTTTGGCACGGATGTCCGAGGGGTGCACCAAGGATCCCATGACTTTGAGGTTGCCGTGAACCACCAGCGCCTCATCTGGCCGGTCGGTGTTGATGCCCACTCTGCCGTGGTGGTACACAGAGTCGGGAAGCTGGCCCCGTTGCCACAGGACCTCGCTGTCGCTCTCAAACTGCCCTGGGTTCGATGCCTGGAGCAAGAGAAAAGGCGGACAGGGGTACAAAAAGACAGAGGCACAGTTCAGGCTGAGAGACCTCTGGGGACACAAGCGAAAACGTATTATTAAAGGAGTCAGAAATGAACAAAAAAACTTACATTCCATTACAGAACTTATGTCACCAGTAAAGATAAACATTACAATTGATATAAATTACAGCCAGAACAGTTCAGCCCTGATGTCCACGGCATGAATGCAGCTATGAAAATTCTGAGGAAGACTAATTCACAAGTATATTACCCATAACTGACTAGCAATCAGAACCTTAAAGCTGGTCATTACGTAGGTTACTCTTTTGGCACAGTTCTGCTGCTTGAATGCTCCCCTGAATTGTTTATAATGAATAATTTTACGTTTTTGGTATAAATGGCAAATTGTTATTCATATGTGAAAACTTACACACAAACTATTCTTGAACGTCAACCATCACAACTCAGTCATTCCTTTTCATTTCAGTCGTATTAATTATACACAATGTTACAATGTCATTGGCATAAGATACAAATCAGTACAGTACAGAAAGCTATGTTAGTGGCCTGAACAACCTGCTTATAAAAAAAATGTAGCCTTACTTAACATGAGTTAAAATTATAAACATATAACATATATATTAACATAAATTATTGTGTGTTTTGCCTCATTATTTATATAGATCAGGCAGATCTGGGAGCAAGGTCAGTATTGATGTTTTCATTTCAACTAATAAATATATGTCCATCTTCCATAACCACTTATCTAGTACAGAAACACAGTTACTTATGCTTTTATTTTGTTGTTTTTTCTTATTGTAGAGCATTTTTTTGTAATTAAATAACGTGAAAGTCTCAGGATTTGTGACTTGAGTCTGCTCACTTATGGTGTACAAGGTGATGTGGTGCAAGGCTGTACTCTATGTCCTTGACCTTATATGGTCAATAATTTGTACAGTATGTTTTTTTTTTCAGGTGTACTGCTAAGCCATTATGTCACCTTGGGACTTGGATGTGTGTTAACATAAATGGGCACTATCACCAAATTGAGCAGGGAACTGGCTACAGTTGTCAATAAATCAGATTTGGAAAGAAACATCAAATAAATAACACACAGCCCAATGTGGATGCCATGCAAGTCAATCTGTCTTCCCAGAAGCAACTAGCAATTAAAAGACTGAGAATATATGTGTCTGTTTCTTGTATAGTACCTCAAAGCTAAAAATCTTATAGCCTAAAAAAATAATTGTTTTACTCCCAGTTTCTGTCAATGATCGAACATGTCCAAGCATTACGGTTAATGTCATTTGGCACCAAGACATATATAATAGTCATTGACGGAAAATGTGGCAAATTGGGGGGGGGGGGCAACCCTGAGGATCAGCCTGGAATCATGCCCAGAGATGTGGAACAGGCCACATATCTGACTCAAATTGTATTACACAACATATTTTCCTGAAGTGGGGGGCTGTTGCTGATATTTTGCCTGGCTTTCTAACTGTGTCTCAGGGGAAAATAAAGAAAAGCAATATGGCACAGATGGTTTATACTGGATGTGGTTTTCCATGTACTAATAATAGTACAAGTGTATCTTCCCTTGACTGTAAAAAATATGGTTCCGACTTATTCCTCTTACGTCTGCTGCTCATATAAACACAGTGATTTGATTTTGAATGAAATTTCAGGCCAGTGAGGACAAATACATAAAAATGCAGAGAAACATCATCAAGTTATCAAGAGGAAGGGATAGCCAGATAGCTGGATAGACACACTCAGAGAAAGGCAGTCAGAAATGCACTTTGGAAGACGCAGACATAAGCAATCAAATTCAGAGAGGCAGTCATTGTAGGGGACAGTTAGACAGACAGGGCCAGACTGACAGAGGTTACCCTGACGATAATCCTCTCTGACACCTGAGCCGCGACAGTGTAGCTCTGATTGTGGGACTGGGCCTGCAGCGCCACCACCAGCATGAAGTACCTATATACAAACACACACACACACACACACACACACACACACACAGAAGCATAAAAACATATGAGTACAAAACCAATATGGTCTAAAATTTACCATCTTCTAGGAATGACTAATTACAAGGATAGAAATATTAATGGAGGTATATCTGTAATTTCCTCTAGGATCAATAATGTTTCTATCCGTCTAGTTTGTATCTATTTATATCCTAACCTGATTTTTTTTCTCTTGAGTTGGTATTTTCATACTATTAAATAATTTAATTTTTGTGTGTGTGTGTTTATGAATTTGTATTAATGTGGGAGTAGACATGTGAGTTTAACAGAAAGTGTAGAAAACTATTTATGGAACAATATACAGTTGCTTTCCAGTTCTGGAGCCTAACCAGTAACTATAGCAACAGCACAGTATACAACCTCCAAATTACTAGTTTTTAGATGTGTTATACCAAAGAATCCATGGCTTTGCATGCGTATGTGGGCAGCACATATGTGTTCATGGCGTGTGACTGTGTGTGTGCATTTATACATGGACACGTGACATATGGGCATGACCTGCGGATGTTTGTGCGTGTGGCCGGCGTTGGGCTCCTACCGCTGGTCAGGGTTGGGTTTTCCTTTCTTCCTCATGTTGTTGGCTGTCGTCTCACTGAAATGAAGCCGCCCCACTGTAACCTTGGTCACCTGCTCCGGGGGCAGAGTCACGCTGAAAGGCACACAAACCCATTTTCACTATAATGACTGACTTTGACTATGACTGTCTCAACTCCAAAGCACGTCAAGCTGAAACAGACTGCAGTTCCACGTTGCATGGAATTCTGTCCATATTGACAAAATAAAGCAAAACTGAAGAGCATATTTAACTCACTCGGTCATTTTTGAGAGGAGACCTAAAGTCAGGCTTCCTCATCATATCTCATACAGTATCAGGAACCAAATTGTCTGGAAAATGTAAACTAGTTTTAGAAATTTGCTCTTCTATTGAGTAATTTGGCAGCTTTTAGTGATTATATTAATGCTTTTGGCTTGCAATTTTATGCTGTTGACTATACTGCAGACGGTGTAAAGGTGGATAGCCACTAACATTTTCAGCCAGTGCATTGCCTGATCACTTTCTTACACCCTTCTTTTTTTACCAGATAAACCTTCCTAAGAGAAAGGAACACCTCCCCCCCCAAACACACACACACCCACCCAACCCTCATTCTTTGTCAATGCTGTGGTGGCCACTCACAGAACTGGTTTGAATGGTCTCTTGCTGCGGTCAGACTGAGATTGCTCCACGTTGATACATTGGTTCATGGCTTCAAGCTGCGGCAGAGGAAGACAAGAGCATCTTGTGTCTTTGTGTTCCAATGAGCCAATATACGGGTCTACAGGCGCAGAGTCAAGCGAGTATTTCAGAGTATAAGTCACTGTAACAGATTGTACGTGAAGTGTGCGAAGCTAACCACGGGCAGTTACCTTCACTCCGTTGAGTTTGAGGTAGAAGCAGTCTATAGGCTGCAGACCCTCACTGGTCTTGACATATTTAGGATCACCCAACATGCCGATGTACACTGTGACCTGGAAGTGGTTCTTCTTCTGGCACACAAAGGCATCATCTGGCACTGAGAAGTTAAAGCCCTTGTCAGCGTCAACGCGATAAGTGGGCATTGGCCTACGAGCAGAGGAGAGAGAGAAAATGACGTCATATCATGGCTCTTGTGGCGCTCCACTTTTTCGGCGCCTTAGATCCCGTTAACAGTCGTTTGCCTATAAGACCCCAGCTGTGATGCCCAGGGCTGGGCTGATGAACGCTGTCCCAGCCCCTGAAATCATGCGTACCTTCAAAAAAATGCCATTTTCTGGGTGTCAGAGTTTCTTTAAATATAGATCTGATTCACCCGCTGTGTGATCATGAGCCATGCAGATATAATGATGAAGAAAATGTTTCACGGTTGTCCTGCCAAGCTGCTTTCTCTCCTGTTGGCTGCTCAACCTTATCTGTCGCACAGTTTCCAGAACTGACATACAGCAATAGGTGCTAATAAATCCTCTGTCCACCTCACCCTCTCGAACGAAAGTGTACTCCTGCTCTCTCCCACGCATAGCTCACCTCTCTGGAATTCAGAGGCCTTCTCCCCCCCCCCCCTCCAAAAAAAAACCCCCCCGCTTTTTTTAACTGCCCCCTGAAAACCCATTTCCATGCCTTACACCACTCTTGTTCATTCTCCATTTCTTATCAGCAGTCTCTAAGAATTTTAGAACATGTTACATAAACAGGACAAATGCTTATCTCCTTATTTTAACAGTTTCGCCAGTTGTGCTTTTTAAAAAAAGATTACATAATTCTTATTCTCGTTTGTAAACATTGTATACATTGTTTTTTTTTTTTTTGCTCCATATCTTGTCAACTGAAGTCAAACTGAAACACTATCCTGCAGGATAAGTTATACAAGCTTTCGGAGACTCCCATAAAAACTAAAGGCACGTTTGTGTTGCGTTCCTTAATGTTGAAGGCTGGTGCCGTTCTTTGTGCTGTTAAAGGGTGGTGCCCCCACAGTGAAACGACCATTTACCAAAGATCTGCGATCTGACACGGATCAGCGTCTCGATCCGTCTTCATGAAACTATTTTACACTCTGTCAGCCCTGCCCTAACATACGTCACGGGCAATTTACAATAAAGCTTTAGCAATTTCTGCCATGCCCTCTCTCATCTTGTCTCTAAGTTTTAAATATTTTATTCCTAACTATCCTGAAATGCATATAGCAGTCTGGAAATAGGTCATGTATCTGCTCTAATTAGGGTGTTTCTGGCTTGATTGCAAGTTAAAATTCATTATGATCTCCTGGAATTTCTATTACAAATGGCATAGCTTCTTATAACAAAAGAAATGTTGTCTAATTATTAATCTAATTAATTCTTGATCATAAACTATACTCTGGTAACCTATTCATTCCAATTTGTAGCACTAAACAATTGACATGTTACAACAATTCAGTTTCCATGGCAGCCTAAAAGAAGAAAATCCATACCCTTAAATCAAACACTTGCATCTGCCATTTTTGAATGATGCATTGTGAACACTGTACATTTTTTTTCTATGTATATACACTTGCTCGTTAGTATATTTGAGATATGTGCCTTTTGTTCATTATGTAATGTTTGTGATATTGTGCTGTAATCTTTCACTTCATTGCCAGATTGTTCTCAATTTACTAACCTGGTTAAATAAAAGCTAAATAATGTTTCTGATAGTGCAGATTGTTAACCATTTGGTCTAGCTGACCAAAATACTCGCTAAACCCTTTGATATTTGACCCTTTTTTTAAAATAAATCCTACCAAACTCTAATTCACTCACTTCCTTTTCACATGTTTTTGCAGATTCAATTTATTTCTAGTGACTTTAACATTGGTGTCACAACGCACAAGGGAATAACATAATCATTAAAAAAAATATATGACAAGCCTATGGCAAATGCCATATTTCATTTCCCTTGTTCAGTCAATTTTAACAGAGTAACAAACTGGGCAAGTGACCTCACATCAGTAACTCAATCAGCCCATCACCTTAACAATCACATCCAATTGTTACAAGGTAACAGGGTGACAGGTGATAGGTTGATAGGTTGCTAAAAATAGTGTGAACACACAGCAAACATTTTAAAAACCTCTGGAAGCCTCTGGAATCCCTGAAGCCACCAGCTGTCTGACACCCAGAAACACAGACAGACATAGTGATGAGGCAGGCCCGCAGTGACACTGCAAACAGCCATGGGGATGAGGCAGGCCCGCAGTGACACTGCAAACAGCCATGGGGATGAGGCAGGCCCGCAGTGACACTGCACACAGCCATGG